AGTTCCTGACTATGAACATTGGATCATAATATCAAAAGGTTGAACACACCTACATCTATTAGATCTGTCCCTAAAGCCATTTAATAATGCTTAGTGTTAACCAATATTTTTATTAATCCACTCACTAAAATGCTTTTATTAGGGTTATGTAATACCAGGCATTACCCTAGTACTAGGTATTTTTTTTTTAAAAGATTTATTTAGTATGTACACAGAAGAGGGAGCCAGATCTCATTACAGATGGTGGTGAGCCACCATGTGGGTGCTGGGAATTGAACTCAGGACCTCTGGAAGAACAGTCGGTGCTCTTAACCTCTGAGCCATCTCTCCAGCCCAGTACTAGGTATTTTAACAGTGAACAAAACTTACAAAAAACACTGACTCCTAAATCTTTTTAAACCATTTTCCTTTATGTGAATATGTGTTTTATCTGCATGTCTGTGCACCACACAAATGCATGCCCTCAGAGGCCAGAGAGTATCAGACCTCCTGGGGTTTGAGTTATAGATGCTTGTAGAATCAAACCCAGGTCCTCTGGAAGAACAGCCATCATCTTCTCACATCTAAACCACTACTGTAGAAGCCCACATTACTTAATCTCTTCCTATTCATTGGAGTATTCAGAAAGATCTTTTAAAACCAAACATATCAACTTGTCATGTTCTTGCTTTTGAAGCCCCTCAAACTTATCCTAATGGTGGTAAGCTCCAGGATAAATCCTTAGCGCAGCTCATAAAGCCCTCCTATAACTGGGCTATCTGCCTTTGCTGAATCAGCTCAAACCTCTCACTCTCCCAATTCTCTATCCACTCACTCAGCCAACATTTACTGCATACCTATGACACGCCAACTACCATGTTGACCACTGGTTAGTGATGCACACAAAACACAAGGTCCATGTCATAGTGAGCTGACCTTCAAGTTCTTCAAATACACTCAATGTACAAAATCTATTTGTCCAAGGGTTGGGGATTTAGCTCAGTGGTACAGCGCTTGCCTAGCAAGCGCAAGGCCCTGGGTTCGGTCCTCAGCTCCAGAAAAGGGAGAAAGAAAAAAAAAAAAAAAAGATGTCCCACAAAATCTATTTGTCCAAATGCTGCTGCTTCTGCACAGAATCCAACATGTCTCGCCTGCTAGCTCCTTTTAATCTTCAAAATTTAGATTTCCTGTCATGTCTTCATGAGGAAAAGTCTTCATTGTTTCATAAGACCTCGTCAAAACATTGAGTTATAGCACTCTTTTTAGTTGTTAATTAACAATATTAATTTCAAAATTGTTTTTCCTATTAACTACTAAAATCTTCATTTGAGTAAACCAGAGTTATGACATGGGTTTGTGGTATTTTGTTAAGCATGTTTCACAGAAGAAAATGAGTGTGCTTTCTTTTTTACCTCTGTTAAATGGTTTGTTGTACCATCGATCTTTTTTAATGTCTGGGATGGTAATCCTTGCTGATGGATTCTCAACTAGAATTTTATGAAGCAAAGCTGAAAACAAAACAAGACAGTATTTGTAAAAGAGTTAAGCAGATTAGATAAACTTAAAAGACACAAAAGCCAGGCACACGGCACACTTTGAGAGGCACAGGCAGAATGTTTAAGAATGAGACCAGCCTGGCACATATATATTAATTTTTAAAAAGAACTCATACAATTCTCAACATCAAAAATGTAAACTAGAACTGAAAAGTGACTCAAGCTTGTAGTCCCAGCACTCTGTAGGCTGAAAGGACTGCCACAGTCAGGTTCTGCCTGAGTTTCAGATCAGCATGGACTAACATAGACCTTGTCTCCAAAAACAAACAAGCCAAACAAGTTAGCATCTGAACACCAGTATCTGGAGTTATAGACTGAAGGATAAGGTCATCCTCTATTTCATAGGGATCTGCTTAGGCTAAATGAGACTGTTGCAAAATCAAAGCCAACAACAATAAAATGTAAAAATTAAACCATAGAAACACTAAGTGAGAACACACACTCAAAAAAAAAAACTTTTTAAAAATATCAGGGTAGAAAAGACCTTTGTAAATATGGCGATACAAGTCAAAAACCACAAATGACAACATTTTAGATCATGAAAAATTTAAAACATCTGCATATTAAAATCACTATCACAGTCAAAATAAATGACAAATTCTAGGAAATGCTGTAACAAACACAATAAATAATATGAATACATTTTTTGGAAAAGCCCCCAAAGGATTAAGAAAAACTATAAATTTCACTGCCAAAACTGGAAAAGCTAGTAAGTTACATAAGGGGGTAGGCAACTCACTGTTAATATTAAATTTAAAATAAAGTTTAAGAAGCAGTATCAGTTACAGACTTATTGGTTAAAAAAAAAATTATTTTGCCAGGCATGGTAGCATACACATTTAATCCCAATATTCAGTAGGCAGAGGTAGACTAATCTCTCTGAATATGAAAGTCAGCCTGGTCTACACAGTGAGTTCCGGGCCAGTCACAGATACGTAGTGAAACCCAATGTTTCAAAATATAACGTGAAAAAGTAACGTAAAAAATGATGAAATGGTACAAACTTTTAAAAAAATAAATTTGTAAAATAAGCCCATAACACTTAAAAAGATACATACTCTCTTAACTCTGCAATTTTGCTTGTGGGAGAAGGGAAAATTTCTTTTTTCTCTTTTTTTTTTTTAAAGAAGGAAAATTTTTAAGCAAATAATTAAAGGATATACACAAGCATCAAGTAACAGAGATGTTATCACACCTCTTCGCTAAAATAAAATTAAAGGAAAAAAAAAAACCTAAATTTTAAACTTGATGAGTAAGACATATCCATATAATGAATACCATCAGTCTTTAAAAGTATGGTCCAGACCAGTAATTATAGATACGGGAAAATGCTGAGTATCAAAACTGAAATAGGTTATGAAATATAAAGTACTAGGGTTTAATTTTTGCAAAAGTATATACTTATAACTAATATATATAATATATATGTAGTATACATTTGCTATATATTTTTTACATGAAAGCATAGGCACATATATCAGAATACCTTTAAAAGGCTATTTCCAAATGCCACAATTATAGCTGTTTCCTTCCTCCTTCCCGCTCTCTTTCTTGAGATGAGGTCTCACTATGTAGTCCTGGCTGGCCTGGAACTCCCTATGTAGGCCAGGCAGGCTCAGAGATCCACCTGCCTCTGCTTCCTGGGTACTGGGATTAAAGACAAGTACCTCTACATTCAACTATTTTTTAATTTTTACGTATATTTTCTAAGTTAGCTAAAAGTACTATGGGTCACTTACATTTAAAAAAAAAAGGAAGAGAAGGGAGAAGAAAGGGAGGGAGAAAGGAAGAAAGGGAGAGAGGGAGAAGAAAGAAAGGGAGGGAGGGAGGAAGGAAAAATCAGTTAGCATGAGACTTTATTACCCACAAAACCAATACTTTCAATGTAACAACCAGTTACCCAGAGGAGCAGAATCAATTTTTTTCCAAGGATTGAGATAGGTTTTTTTTTCTTTCCAATCAGAATATTCCTGACAGCTGTCACTGGGCTGGTCCCACGGCAACTCTAAAAATGAAACAAGTTTCAGTTTTCTGAGTGTTCATAAAATTATGTAATAAAAATTTCAAGGAAAAATAATCACACAATAGAATAAATGAGCAATACATAAAAGGAATGCAAGTTTCCTCCCTAGTAATTCAATATGGTTTTCATACTAAGTTTCATTGAAATCTACTCTTTCACATGAAAGCTAGGGATACGGCTTCGTGATAGAGTGCTTGCCTGGTAGGTGTTAAGCCCTGGGTTCAATCTCCAGCAACCCCAAAAGAAGTGCTGAGATTTTCATTTAATAAATATAATTCATGTAAATGAATCTCTCTCTGGGTTACAACTTTTATGGTAGTGAGAAATAAGATGTTCATTTAATTAATTTATTTATTTATTTTGTTTTTTTGAGACAGGGTTTCTCTGTGCAACAGTCCTGGCTGTCCTGGAACTCGCTTTGTAGACCAGACTGGCCTCAAACTCAATGAGTTCAGCCTGCCTCTGCCTCCCAAGTGCTAGGATTAAAGGCATGAGCCATCACCGCCCGGCCTATAGTAAGATGTTAATTATAACGGGTTAAATGTTTGCTTCCCCTCTAAATTTTATAATGAAATCCTAATCCCTAAGATAATGAAAGTGAGAACTTGATTGGAGGTTCTAGCAGGGGACTGTAGATACTACTTGTACACACTTGACTGAAAGCTGACCCTCCTCTATTCTGGGAAAGTGGTCCTCTTCAAGCCAGCCCACAGCTTCAGGAGAGGAAGGCAACACCAACCTCACCAGCCAGATCAACCAAATCCATTCCAGAGATCAACAAAGGGAAAGATGCTACAGCCAGATCACTCACTCCCATGTTCCCATTGTGACGATTCTGGAGATGGGTGACTGGGTCATGGTTAGGAAAGGCCTCAAAAGTGGGATCTGGGTCCTTATGAAGACCCTGAAGAGTCTGCCTCGCCTCTCAGTAAGATGGTCAACTACAAGGGAGGGAGAGGGCCCTCAGAATATGGCCATGCTTGCACCTTCATCACCCAGACTCAAGGCCTTCATAATTTGTACAAAATGGATAAATCTGCTGTTTAAGGTGCACTCACTGTATGGTACTTTGTTACTGCAGTCCAAAGCAATTAGTTAAACACTAACAAAACTACTACAGAACGGGAGAGGTGGCTCACAACCTTTCTATTACAGAATTAGATTCCCTTAGGTTATTTCATTTTTATTTTGGTATAAGAAACATGATTTTTCAGAGAAAATAAGTTTTCTCATAATTAAACTGCCTTACCTCCAGCCAACATTGCAGTAAGTACTATTCCACAAGACCAAACATCAACTGGTTCTGCATGAAATTCTTTTCTCTTTAGAAGCTCTGGAGCAACGTAAGGTAAAGTACCACACATCTTGTTTAGTAAGCGTTCACGATTATTATGCCGAAACACTGTCGCCAAGCCAAAGTCAGAGATTTTGAGATTATCTAAGTAAGCCAAAAGAGAAAAAGACCAGCACCGAATTAAAAGGATTTGTAAATACATATAGGAATTACTAAATAACACTAGTTTTCCTTAAGACTTGTAAAATTTCTCTTCCTGAAAAATCAGCAAAAGAAATCTATGTATGTGTAATGAAGAAAAATTAAAAGGCACCAATCATTTATACCAAACGAAACTTAGCAAAGACCTCAAGTTCTTATTAACTAAAGCAATACATCATCAACACAAAAACCAGCTTGTACCAGGTCAAATAAAGATGCTGTAGACGCCCTTCTGGAAAACAAACCTAGGAAGACAGTAGAGCAAAACCCTTCACTGAGAACTGTGGAGAGTAAGAAGTCATCAGCAAAGCTTTCTCCATGGCAAACGATGTCAGTTGGCAAAAAGGAAACATATAAGGATGTATCAAACTAAACTGAAAACTGAGAAGCCACAAGAACTTGTCACAGAAGCAAATCTGAGAAAAGCAGCAGAAATTCCATGCCAAAACGAGCCCGAAGAACAAACTTCCACTCTGCTCTCCCTTCTTCATCACATACAAACTGCATGAAGAACTTCCCGTTTTAACATACCAGATTAATGTCTACTGCATGCAAGTAATAGGCACTGCATTAGCCAATGTAGGCAGTAGATAAAATCAGCCAAGAGAGGATGACAATAAACCATGGTTATATGGGATACGAAAATACAGACATTATAGGATGCCGTAGCAAAGGGTCTAACTAAGGAGTTAGGGAAACCCTATTACGAGAGGTCATCATAGGTACAACCTTTTGAAAGCAGTGTGGCCAAGGTGTCAATCTGTGAAATTATTCACTCTTTAACAATTCTCACTTCAACTACGGAAGCAGTTAACAAAACAAGGTATATGCATTCATACGAAATCAGGTATTATATAGGAAAAAGGCTAGTAGCATGAACAAATCTCGTTATAAGTATTATAAATATAAATATGTATTTTTTGTTTTAGGTAATTATTGTTCTATTTTAAGTTAGAAACAAATGTTCATACCTCATACCATATAAGCCAGTGTATTTGTTACCTATATTTAACTTTGAGAGATACAGGTTGCAATTACATCTTTTTAATAACTATATATGATAAAATCTAGACCAACTACTGAGATCACAACTTCAAACTACTTCTAAGTAGTAGTCACTTTGAGTACTAATGGTTTACCATAGTGTTTTTGGGGTTTGGTTGCTTCATCCTGTGTGTAACATAATATTGCTAAGTTAGAGAGCTACAGATATGAATTTAACATTTAGAGATGTAATTTAGAGATATGTGTCTGGGAAGGAAGGAATGGAAGGGAGATTTTAGATACTGGTGGAATTTTGTTTCTTTAGCTTACTAACAAATACTAAATGGAAACGAAATAAATACACAAGAATAACAGTGTAATCAAGATGCGCTTACCAGACATTCTGCTTAACATTTGTTGAAATTCTTAAATTAATAAAACTATATTTAAAAAAAAATAGCTGCATCCAAGCACTTGGGAGACAGAGGCAGATCTGTTCGTTCAAGGCCAGCCTGGTCTACTGAGCAAGCTCCAGGGCAGCCAGGGTTACTACACAGAGAACTCCTGTCTCAAATACCCAAAATAAAGAAATAAAAATAAAGAAAAGAGCAGGGCTGGAGAGATGGTTCAGTGGTTCAAGAACCCTAATTCAAATCCCAGCATCCACATAGCAGCTAACAAGTGTCTGTGACTCCAGTTCTAAGAGGATTCTGTCCCTTCTTCTGGTCTCCACCAGCACTGCAGGCACACGGTGCACAGACACACTGCAGGCCAAACACAAACACACACACACACACACACACACACACACACACACACACTCCCTTGCCTCTCAGAGCGGCCTACCATTCAGTTTTCTTTCTACTTGTGCTACCGTTACATGTTTCTAATCCTAAACAATAATTTGGGTTTTGGATTTCATAAAAACAGATAATGTATGAGTTTGGGATTTTGTTGTGTTTTTGTTTGTTATGTTTTTTTGATTTTGTTTTTTACCTACATCCTTTTATCCCTGAAATTCATCTGCCATTGCTTGTCACTATAAATTATACATTTCGGGGTGGAGAGATGGCTCAGCGGTTAAGAGCACTGGCTGTTCTTACAGGTCTTGAGTTCGATTCCCAACAACCACATGGTGGCGCCCAACCATCTGTAATGAGAACTGGCGCCCTCTTCTGGCATGCAGGCAGAACACTGTATACAAAATAAATAAATCCTTAAATAAATAAATAAATAAATAAACCATTTCATAATTTATCTGTCTTACAGTTGGTACATATTTGGGTTGTTTTGAGATTTTTACAAACCACCAATACTATGAGCATTTTTAGCAATACCACTGATGTCAGAAATGAGATAGGAATGTCCACTATCCCTACTCCTTTTTAAAACACTGTGCCTGAAACACTAAGTGGAACAATAGGCAAAAGGAAATTAAAGGGATACAATAGGAAGCCAAAATATCCCTACTTGCAGATGACATATGATACAGTAGATATCTCAGAAATTCTGCCAGAAAACCCCTAGAAATAATGAACAAGTTCAGCAGTGTGGTAGGATACAGAATTAGTTTGGGCAAAGCAATAACTTTTCTATACAACAACAACAAACACAGAGAAAGAGAGAATGGACATACTCCTATTCACACTCTAAATCTAGGCCACCGCCTCCAGTGGCAGCCCACAGAACAGAACATTGAAGAAGGAAGCTTTGTTTTCTGTCTGCTTGCCCTCACTTTCACTAGCAAGTTCATCATTCCTAACTCATTCTTTGGCTGGTGTTAAAACCTACTTCTTCAGGATTCCAACATGAACTGAAAACTAGGACCTCCCTGGAACTCTAGCACGAAACTGGGACTGCTAAGACATCAAGTCTTGTGGGTTAGACAACTATTGGATATTATTCTGTCATGAGACAGCCATTGTTGGGCTTACCACAGGCAGTAAGCTACTCTAATAAATCCCTCACCAATATACAAATATACATTAATTCATTCTATCATTGTTTCTTAGAGAACCCCAAATAATATACCAAGGAAGGTGAAGAACGTCTATAATAAAATCTTTAAACCTCTAAAGAAGGAGATAGAGAAAGACTCTAGAAAACGGAAAGCCATCCCATGCTCATGGATTGGTAAAATATGAAAATGACCATTTTACCAAAAGCTATTTACAGATTCAATGGAATTACAATCTCAGCCCCCATCTCATTCTTCACAGGAATAGAAAAAAAAAAAAAACTATCCTAAAACTCATATAGAATTGTAAAAGACTCTGGGTAGTCAAAACAATCCTGAGCAAAAAAAATGCTGGAGAGATTACAACTACAGATCTCAATATATATTACAGAGCTATAGTGATAAAAAACATTATGGTACTCGCTCAAAAACAGACATGTAGACCAATATGACAAACTCGAAGACCTAAACAAAAGTACACATAACTTCAGTCACTTAGTATTTAACAAGATGACAAAAACACACACTGGAGAAAAGAATGGATCTCCAACAAACGGTGCTGGGAAAACTAGATGTTCACAAGCAGAAGAATGGAATTAGACCCACATCTATCGTCTTGCACAAAAACTAACTCACATAGATCAAAAACCTAAATGTGAAACTCAAAACACTGAAACTGCTAGAAAAAAACATAGGCAGTACCTACCCTTGCGACACAGATGTAGGAAAGGGCTTTCTGAATCGATCTTCATTTGCCCAAGAATTAAGGCCAATAATTGAAAAGTGGAACTTCACAAAACTGAAAAGCTTCTGCAGAAGTAAAGAAACAGTCAACTAGGTGAAGCGGAAGCCCACACACAGAACAGGAAAGAGATAAATGCAGGATGAAGAAGAGGGTTAAATAACAGTATGGATGTCTGAAAATATCATAAAGAATCATACTCAACAGAGAATCAATATCCAGAATATATATATATATATATATATATATATATATATATATATATATATATATATCCTCAGAAAACAAAGACTGAGAAAAAAAAGGGCCTGGGACCTTAACAGAGTTCACAAAGAGAGAGATTAAGAAATGTCTCAAAAAATGTTCACTGTCTTTATTTAGCAAGGAAGAAAATGCAGATGAAAACAGCTCTGAGATTTCCTCTCACCCCACTCAAATGGTAAAGAATGGACAACAAATGCTGGAGGGAATGTGCAGAAAGGGAGCTTCATTCACTGTTGGTGGGATAATAAACTGGTCACTCTGGAAATCAGTGTAGAGAACTTTCAAAAAGCTACAAATAAATCTACCGTATTTCTGATGCAACTCTATTATCCTGTGGCATGGTACTCTACTCCACAGATACTTGATCAGCCATGTTCACTGCTGCTCTATTCACAGTAGCTAGGAAACGGGAACAACCAACAATCTGACAATGAATTGTGGCGCACAGACACTATGGAATACTACTCGGGTGTAATGAAAAATGAAATCAAGAACTCTGCAGGCAAATGGATGGAACAGGAACAATAATATTGAGTGAAATAACCCAGATCCCAAAAGACAAACATCACATGTTCTCTATCATCTGAGGCTGCAATCTTCAGATGTGAGTACATATCCTGGAATAACTACAGAAACCAGGAAAGTGAAAAGGGACCATTGTTGGTTTGGGGAAAATGAAGGAGCAAATACAAGAGCACAAGTGATCTGATGAGAGAAATGGAAAACTGGGGTGAGGGCTCTAACTGGGGGAGAGGAGCAGTGCAAAAGAAGGAGGGAGGAGGGTTTACTAACAGCAAGGATTTCTGGAAATACTGGAATCATACTATTAACTATCTACCTAAAGATTAACTATAGTAAACATAAGTCAGTGTGTAAACATACACAGTCGAAATGAAATCTTCTCATCTAGGCTAACAGTTCTCCTTCTAGGAGCCAAAGACCATCTAAGAAAAACTCCACCACCAAGCATGAGAAGCCCTCTTTTAAGTTTTATTAGTCAGGGTTATCCAAGAGACCCCCAAAACATCACAGGCTACTGCTACTGACCTTGGATGCTCCTCAAAGGTAGAAGATAAGTAAGGCCTTGTTGCTAAATACACCAGACACAGGGCCAGAGGCCCCTTGAGCTGGAACTGACCTGCAAGCCTCCTCCCTGTGGATTGGCTTTCTTGGTACCAGAAGGCACCATGCAAGTTTCCAAAAGAGGGGAGCAACCCACAGTCCTACCCAGCTTTGAAGCCTGTGAACTCCAACAACCACCAGCATGGCACAACAATGCCATAATGTGCAGTAACGGTATAAACACCTTGACTCTCAGACTGGACGTAAGACCCACTCAACAAGACAGAAATCGGGGCTGGAGAGATGGCTCAGAGGTTAAGAGCACTGACTGCTCTTCCAGAGGTCCTGAGTTCAATTCCCAGCAACCACATGGTGGCTCACAGCCATCTGTAATGAGATCTGGTGCCCTCTTCTGGTGTGCAGGGATACATGCAGGTGGAACACTGTATACATAATAAATAAATAAATCTTAAAAAAAAACTTCTAAAAAAAAGACAGAAATCATGCCTAGTACTGGAAACCTTGTCAACTACACAGGACTAGTGAAACCATGGGTACTGGAGAAGACCCTAGAACTGCCACTTTCCTAAGCCAGCATAATCCCTAGCTACATCCTAAATATATGTTCTTCTACCCAAAGGTAAGTATGTCCTCATCCCTCATCAAGGAAATTTCCTTATACAACAGAATGAGGCCATTACAGAAAACCAAAAAGCAGAGTTGTCCCAATGGATACATCTTATTGGACCTAAGGCTCAGGGGTCATTGCACAAGAGGGCAGTAGAAAGATATAAAAGCCAGAGAATCAGGGGGTTTGCTGTGAGACTGGATCTTAGGAATGTCAGAAGTTACATGAATCTTGGAGAACCTACAAACAAAGTCAATAAGCAACATGCCAACGTGGACAGGGGAAAACCCTGGAGGCCTCAACCTTACACAAAGAAGCTGAGATTAGGAGAAATAGTGTTCCCCAGGGAAAAGCACACCAATTAGTTATTCAATACCAAATGGTCAACACTGAAAACATGCATACACATAAGACTATAAAGACCGAGCAGGCAGTACTTATATATTTAGGAATACACACACATATACATATATGTATGTTATAATACATACATACATACATACATATGAAAAAGAGGGGCCATGAATCTAAAAGAGAACAAGGAGAGGTATAAGGGAGGGTCTGGAAGGAGAAAAGGGAAGGGGGGAATTATGTAATTATATTATCGTCTCTAAAAAGTAAAAGAAATAGTGAAACATACAAAAAAAGGGGGGAGAAATAAAAAGGATACAAGTAAGAAAGGAAGAAGTCAAATTAACCTATTTAATCTAGATGGTATTATCTTATACTTAAAAGACCCTAAAGCAGGCTGGAGAGATGGCTCAGAGTTTAAGAGCACTAACTGCTCTTCCAGAGGTCCTGAGTTCAATTCCCAGCAACCACATGGTGGCTCACAACCATCTGTAATGAGATCTGGTGCCCTCTTCTGACCTGCAGTTATACATGCTGTATACATAATAAATAAATTTAAAAAAAAAGACCCTAAAGCCTCCACCAGAAAACTTAGACCTGGTAAGTATTTCAAAAGGATAGTAAGATACAAAATCAACAAGCAAAAATTAGAACCTTTCCTATATACCCATAACAAACATTCTGAGGAAATAAAATAGTATTCATAAAGCTTTTCTAAACATGGAAAAACAAAAAAACAAAACAAAAACAAACAAACAAAAAAGCCAGCAATAAACCTAACCAAGGAAGTTAAAAAAAACACTACAATGAAGGCTTTAAGACACTGAAAAAAGACATGGAAGAGGGTACTAGAAGACTGAAAGCCCACACTACAGAATGTAAAAATAATTGTATTGCTAGGAGCGATTTATAGATTCAGTCATCAATGGCATTCTTCTCAGGACTAGCAAAGGCACCCTAGGCAGGAAGAGCAATACTGGCAGCATCACGATACCTGATCCCAATCAACTAAAAAGCCACAGTAAGTGCATCATGACAAAGGCAGAAAAACAAGACATGTAAACAGTGGAGCAGAACAGAAGAGCCAGAAATAAACTCATACAGCTACAGCCACCTTCAAGAAAAATTTCTTCCTTCATTTTTGTTTTGCTTTGTTTTTCTGGCTGTCCTGGAACTCATTATGTTGACCAGGCTGGCCTAGAGCTCACAGAGATCTACCTGCCTCTGCCTCGCAAGTGCTAGGATTAGAGGTGTGCATCACGGGGGTTTTTTGTTTTGTTTTGTTTTGTTTTGTTTTGTTTTGTTTTGTTTTAATGTGTATGGGTGTTTTGCCTGCACTTATGCCTGTGCACTGTGGAGGTCAGATCCTCTGGCACTGGAGTTACAGACAGGTGTGAGCTGCCACCTTGGGTGCTGGGAACTGGAACCCAGGGTTCTCTAGAAGAGCAGCCAGTGCATAATATACTCTGATGCAACTCTCCAGCCCCTAACCACAGCCACCTAACTGGAAAAGGTCAGCACCATGAACACAATGATGCTGGAAAAGTCAGATAATCATACAGGAAAGGATGACATTAAATCCATCTCTCACACTTTGTACAAAACCATGTTCAAAATAAATCAAACCCTTAAGATGAGATCTTAAACTTTGAATGAACTGATAGAGAAAAACAAGCAACCCCAAGATTCAGAGAGGCACAGGCAAGGGCTTCCCAAGACATTAAAGCGCTTCCATACAGCAAACAAGCAGCAGGGTAGGATACAGCCGACAGGATGACAGAACATCTTTTCCAATTATATATTTCACCTTAGCTCAATATCTGCAGCGTCTACAGAATTCCAAAACTTAAGCCAAAACACAAAGCATCCAATCAACAAAGGGGTGGATGAGGTTAACAGATAGTTCTCTAACCACACACACAAAAACTTTAAAAAAAAAAAAAGGCCAACAAATATTGGGAAAAAATGTTCAACATCCTCAGACATCAGAGAAACACACACTAAAAAGGCAATGAGATCTCATCTCAGAGCAAAACAAAATCCCTGCCTCATACAGCCGACACTTGTCATCTTTTTGATCCTGGTTCTATAAAACTAACACTTTTGCTATTCTTCTCTCTCAATTTTATGACATCTATAGAACAAAAGTAGAGCCATCATGGGTGCACACACCTGTATTCTCAGCAGCAGAAGGGCAAGTCCCAGGCTATCCCAGCTACAGAAGCAATTCAACAGCCTAAGATATACATCAAGCTTTTCTGAGGGGTAGACATGAGGAAGTATCTCCCATAACCCTAGTTGACCTCAAACTCAGTATGTAGCTAAAGATGGCCTTGAATTTCCAATCTGCCTCCGTCTCCCAAGTGTTGGGAATACAGGAGTATAACTGTCTCAATAAAAAACAGAAAAGTGGGGACTTGAGAGATGGCTCAGTGGTTAAGAGCACTGACTGATCTTCTAGAGGACGCAGGTTCAATTCCCAGCACCCACATGGCAGCTCACATCTATCTATAACTCCCAGATCTGACACCCCAACACAGACAAACATGGAGGTAAAACAACAATGCACATAAAATGAAAATAAACAAGTAAGTTATTTAAAAAACAGAACAGGACCAGTGAGACGGCTCAGCAGGTAAACACACTTTCCACCAAGTCTGACAACATGAGTTTGACCTCTAAGACTAAGGCGTAGGATATTTCAATAAAAGCATGGCACATTAATTCTTTAAAGAACTTTTAAATTTTCTTGTAGGGCTGGAGCAATGGCTCAGCAGTTAAAAGTGCATACCATTCCTCCAGAGAGCTGGAGTTTTATTACTAACAACCGCATCATGCAGCTGACCAAGTAGATCCAAGGGATCCCCTACTTTTTCTGGCCTCCCTGGGTACTCCCACAGCATACACACATACATGCATACATACATACGCTCACACAAATACACATACACACACAAACTATAAAAAAATAAATGAATGAATTTTGAAATAAATAAAAATAATTCTATTTACTCATCCAGTGAGGTACCATTCATCATTCCAAGTATTTGTCTACCTTCATCTACAACTATATCATTAAAGACTTGTAAAATTCTTAGACTTTTGACCTTTTTTTTTTTTTTTTTTTGGTCCCAGGATTTCAGTAATGTAAAACCCTTGATCAGTTCTATATGACCAGCCTAAAAAAACAACATTAACAAAATGCAATCTTACCCCTTTCATCCAAGAGGAGGTTTTCTGGTTTAATATCCCTGTGAGTTATTCCAATTCCATGCAGATAAACCTAAGTGGGGGGTAGAAACAATAGAATTTAGCAACTCACCTACTGGTGCTAATTTTAAGCACAGTGTAAGAGGCTATGGTACCTACCACTCCTGCCATGAGTTGATGGAAGAACCTCTGAGCATCTTGTTCAGGCATGCCTATGTCTGGTTCTGTAAGAAATAAGTATTGAATGTCTACTGAAAAAAATATAACCAGGCATCCATCATACAGGCTCTTACTCCATATCTCAATTTATGTTTGTACTAAAGCAAACAGAAACTTATACTAACAAAAGACTCAAGTCTAATAACAAATATATTACTAAATGTCTCACATCTGCCTAGCTGCTAAATAGTAAAAACAAACTAACATCATAGGAAAATAATAAAAGCATCAAAGTATTTTAATCTGATACTAACTCCAGTGGCCTTGGCTTCCTTCACATTTCCCTCTACTTCTTTTAAACACAAAACTCAGGGCTGGAGAGATGGCTTAGCAGTTTAGAGTACTGGCTACTCTTCCAGAAGACCAGGATTTGATTCTCATTATCGACATGGCTCACAATCATCTGTAACTCCAGGTCCAGGGGATCCAGTGCTCTCTTCAGACCTCTTACAGAACCAGGCATGCCTCCATGGATGTCAGACATGCACACAGTACACAGAATATAAATCACCCTAAGATAAATAAATAAACAGTGCCTATTTTTCCTCAATATTCTAGTATGACTGCCAACAAGAAAATCTAATACAATTTCACTACTTAACAGATTTAAATCATAAAATTTTCACATTACAAAGTCAAGAGTGCCTGATCTTTTACTCCAGCTTTACTGTTGCATAACTAACTGATATAAAACTGATCAAACAGCTATCTAACACTAAAATAGTTAGACGGTGGTAGCACACGCCTTTAATCCCTGCACTCAGGAGGCAAAAGAATGCGGATCTCTGAGCTCAAGGCCAGCTTGGTATACAGAGTGAATCCCAAGACAGTCAGGACTACAGAAAAACCCTGTCTTGAAAAAACACCCTCCAAAAAATACAACTGAGGGCTGGAGAGAGGCTCAGCAGTTAAGAGCACTGGCTGCTCTTCCAGAGGACTCAGATTCAACTCCCAGCACTGGTGTGGCAGCTCACACCTTTCTCCAGTAACTCCAGTTCCAGGGGATCTAACACCCTCACATAGACAACAGACAGGTGAGACAACAATGCACACAGAATAACATTAAATCTTAGATAGATAGATAGATAGATAGATAGATAGATAGATAGATAGATAGATAAAATGCAACTGAGAATGTTACTTAATAACAGACCACTTGAAGGGCCTATGGAAAGACCCTAGGTAGCAATTTATAAGCTTGTACAGTAAAAGAATTATCATAAATCTTTTCCATACCTATTCTATCAAAAAGCTCTCCTCCGCTACAGTACTCCAGAAATAGATACTGGATATTGCCTTCCCTCCGGTGGCCATAGAATTTCACTACATTCTCATGATTTAACATTTTATTGATGCAGATCTCTTTCTTAATATTTTCTGGACAGTCTACGGCCCGCTTCATATCTACAATTTTCACGGCAACAGCTTCTTCAGTTATTCTATTCACAGCAAGTTGAACTCTTAAAAAAAGAGAGAGAGAAAATTAAAACATTTTCACATCAGAATTCTATTTCTCCTCTAAAACTTCAAAATATTAGCGATGCATGCCTGTAATTCCAGCATTCCAAGTTCAAGGCCAGCCTGAGCTACAAAGAAACTCTCTAAGCAAACAAACAAAAAACCCAAACAAGCAGGATGCCTTTGATCTTTGAGAAGCAGAGACAGGCAGAGCTCTTGAAGTCTGAGGTAGCCAGCTACATAATGAGACACTGTTTGTTATGCCCAGATCGCGGGGACCCCCAAAAGACCACCATGGAGACCAAATCCCGCATGTAAAAGCAAAGAGCCTTTATTTCAAGCTCCAGAGCTTGGTCCCTCTGTTTGTCTGACACAGTGGTAAGAGCAGGGAGCCCTGAGCTCAGGTGGGGCAGAGTTTTCATAGCAGAGGTTGGGGGGGAGGGCATTTCCAGGGTCCAGGACCCTGAGTGGCTGACAATTGTCTAGGGGTATCTGTAAAACAAAAAATAGGTGTGTGCTAGACTCAAGGGCATCTGACTACCTTATCTAATGGTTGGAAAGTTTTCAATGCCAGGTACTTCCTCATCCCTGGGTGGTACTAGCTTAAGGCTTTTCCTGGATCTGGGTGTTGCCTGCCAGTAAGCCTGTCACAGAAGCTGTATCTAGGGTCCTAAGCCTATCATGGCTGCTGTGCAGTCAAGCTATTTTGGGGCCCCTTCACAATCTCTGCAAACAAAAAGGGGGGGTGGGGGGGTGGCAGAAAAAGGGCACCAGGCTGGAGTACAGTTCCTAACACCCACATGGTAGCTCACAATCTGTAATTCCAGTTGCGGAGGATCCTACCTTCTTCTGGCCTCTGTCTGCACTGTATACATGTAGTATACTAACATGTAGGCAAACACTCACACATATAAAAATATATAAATTTTAAATATTTAACACTTCCCAAAATATTTTTCCTTCACTCTTTTCTTCATCAAGGAAGATGAGATGGTTCTGCCATGTTCTCAAAAGAAACGAAAGGAAATGTGAAGTACTACAGTTAAACCTCCAAAAAGTCATGGTCTGGTGCATGCAGGGTGGGTACTATTAATTCTGTCTGCAGATGAGGAAACAGAGGCACACAAAGCTTGCTCAAGAACACAGAACACAACCAGTCTGCTAAGACTTTTCATTATCTCATTTAAATTCTAAGACAGACAGCTTGAAATAAAAAATAAAAAAAAACTGATTCTCTTATAATCCTTGGGAAAAGAAGTTTTTAAAAAGCTGGGTCGACTAATGCACGCTTATAATATCTGAGAGGGTAGAGTGTACCACAAGTTCAAGGCCAACCTGGCAACATAACAAGATTTTGATCTGAACAAAAATAAACAAAAGAAGAAATGTTGGGTTTGTCTGTTGTTGTTTTTAAGGCCTAGTGGCAGAGCATTTACCTAGCATGTGTGATGCCATAGCTTCAATCCCCAGTACCACAAAAAAGGAGGAGTGGGTGTGGCTATGTGACTTTACTTGCTAAGAGCCTTGATTTACAAATGCAAATATCCACTCCCTTTGCCACTTGAAATAAAGGATTTTTTTTAATGTGTATTCAAACAGCAGATGGGAAACTAAAGCAAGCACACAGGCAAGGTAAAATTTAAATTAGGGAGGGCAGAAAGATGGCTAAGCTGGTGAAGCCACTTGCTGTCAAGCCTGAGGATCTGAGTTCAATTCTCCGAACCCTCATGAGAACCAACTCCTACAAGTTGTCCCCTGACCTCCATATGCTCACCATGGCAGCACAGATAAACACACACACACACACACACACACACACACGCACGCACGCACGCACGCACGCACCACTTAAATGTAATAAAAATTTAAATGAGGGCTCAAACTTACTCTCCATAGGCACCTTCTCCCAAAGTTTGCACCAAGTCCCAGTCTTCCACAAAAGGCACTGCCATGACTTCAAGCGCAGCGGCTGTAAAATGCAGGATCCCAGAAAATAGGGAGAATGAGTGTAAACTCTCATCGCTCATAATGCCGCTCAGCCATGCGTGCCTCTTGCCATGATTCCGCACGACTGTGGTTTCCCCTTACATCTCATCCACATTTACCCAAGTCACAATCTTAAATGTAGGCATTTTGTCCTGTATATCAGGATCCCTGTTCAGCCACGTTTGTCCTCCGCATTTATGCAAACCTGAACACTTGCTTGGATCGGAGGCTGGGAGACAAAGGCTTCCCGGTGAATGACGGGGAGGGGAAGGAGTTGCGGGCAGGGAGAGCGGCGTTGGGGGGTTGTGGGGGATAGCAGGACAGGTGTGAGTAACTACCGTAATCACTACCGGAGCAGCCCCTCCTCCCACCCGCTCACTTCCAATTCCCACCCCAACGGCACGTGTCCCCAGGGCCCGGAGGGAAGGGGGCGGGGCCAGGCTGTTGAGAGAGGCGGAAGGCAGGGACCCCTAGAGCCGGAAGCGTGCGAACCCCGAAGGCTCAAACAGCTCTGGTCCCTTTACGCTGGGAAGCCGCGGGCCACCAGCTCCAGCCCGCACTCCGGGAGGCCCTCCCATCTCCCGGTCGTCACGACCACTCCCTCACCGTGCCCGTCCGCACTAATCAAGACCTCTGAGTCCTTCGCTGGAGTCCTGTCCCACCGTTCGGGACGCCCCTCTCACCAAGCAGTCCTTTGCCAGCTGCCACGGGAATCCAAATGCAGAGCTTTTCCCGCCAAAACTTACTTGCGTCATGCTGTCGCAAACGCGCACACCTTTGCCGTAAAGCGGGCCGGCGCGCGTTGTCCTATCCCAGGCTGATAATAACTTCAGCCGACTGACCCGGAAGGGGCTCCTCCTCCTAGCGCTGACCCTGCCCGGCCAGGCTGGAGTTCTGATGGCAGAGACCCGCAGACGGGATTTGCTATTGACGACCTCCTTGGTGAGAATTGATCTGTGAGTCCCAGAGTGGAACGGTATCGGGTGTGTGCCCCGCTAGACGCCTCACGTTGCTCCAGAGAGGCGCCGAAGCCTCCATCCAGACCGAGCGTCAGTTGGGCCAGGGCAAGCACTGGGTTCCTTGCTGCTGACCCTGCAAGGGCTGCACCGTTAACTACGTAAACCGACCAGCTCGTGACCCCGGCGCTCCTGCTAGGAAGGGCTTGTGAGGCTCAAACTGAGCGCTACAAAGTGCTCTGTAAACGCTAGACTGTGGCACCCTTAGTATTCGAGCTTAGAAGCTAGCAACTGCTGTTAGAATTGATCCTGGGGGGACGGAGGGAGGAAGACCAGGTGTGGTGATGTATATTGTAATCGTAGAATTTGGAAGGCATATGCAAGAAAATAGCGAGTTCAAGGCCAGCCCGGGTTATACAGGGTTAATCTCAAAAAAAAAAAAAAACGAAATAGTTTTAAATGTGACCACACAATGTCGGGTACAAGGGGGCAGGTCGAAAATAGTATTTGTTTACAGTCCAGTCAGGATCACCGATTTTGCCTGCACAGGCTCCAAAACTAGTTCAGCCTAACCTGTTTGTAGGAAGACCATTTGCCTAGCTTAGTCTCATTAGCTTTCTAATTTTTAAACGAATATAGTGGCCCACACCTATAATACCACACTCTAGAGCTGGCAAGAGATACTCAGCCAGATGCTCTTTCAAACAAAAAACCAGCAAGCTACACGTGGTGATGACTCGCCTGTAATCTCAGCCAAAGAAGGCTGAAGCAGGGGGAACTGCTTCAGGTTTGTCAGCCTGAATCAAAAAATATGACCCTGTCTTTAAAAAGGTGGTTAGAGTAACAATAAATATTAGAGTAACTGGGCTAGACATGTGGCATAATGGTAGAGTACTTGCCAAGCATGCAGAAAGTCAGAATAAAGTGAGAAATGTCAATTCTCAGGGAAAGGACTTGAGTACAAACAAACTTGTGCTTGCTTTGCCACTGAGCTACACAGCTCCATCTCTACAAAACCTATCAAAAGTGAAAAGGTGAAACACCTACAAATGTTTATATATGAAGTTTTAAACCATGACATTATAGGATTCATATGATGAAAACAAGTTTTTAGATCTTTCCCATTTCTTTATAATTTCCTGTGTTCTGAAATTAAAGAAAATAAAGACCCATGAGTTTCCTATATTCCTGGATAGAATGTCATCACCTGGAAAAAATAGATTCAGGCAGAGTATCAGCGCTCTTAGGTGTGCATATGTGTGCTTTTATATATGTATATGACCTTATACCAGCCACCAAGGAGGTAGAGGCAGGAGATCAGTTCAGGATCACACTGGCCATATAGAAAATTCAAGGTCAACCTGGGCTAAATGAAATACTGCCTCAATAAACTTAATGTGTCTAAACAGATTAAAAGAAAATTGCCACAAGAGTAAACAGATTTACACACACACACCAAAACCATGATAAAACTTCCTAAAAATAGTTATAAAGGAATAGTAGTAAGAAGAGAGGTTTCATAGCACTTGCCTATAATCACAGTACCTTGGGGGCAGATGCAGGAGGATCAGGAATTCAAAGCCATCCTTAGCTACACACTAAGCTTGAAGCCACATAAGGGCTACATAAGTCTTTTAAAGGGAGTGGGGCATGAGCAATAGCCTCTATTCCTTTCTGAGCATGAGGAAATTTTGGAAAAGTGAAAACCTACTGCAGATAAAAGGTAACAAGTACAAAATAAAGATTAATCCCAAAGTACAGAAAAGTGACTTGAACTGCATTATGGGAAACCCAGAAGACTCAAGTTGAAATGATATCAGGTAACTCTAAATATGGAGGTCAAAGTGGGGCAGTCACAAGACTACCCATGAAGCAGAGACCTCTACACTCTTCCTCTGTGTAACCAAGGAACAGCTCTTCCCCAAAGCTGGTAGTTAAGATTTGAGAGTAAATAAATGGAAGGTGGCTTGTAGAGTAAGCACAGTCAAAGGTGTGGCTATCCTACTAAAAACAGCAATTCAATTTAAGTATATGTACTTCAAGTTGGACCCATAAGCTTTCTTTTCCTACTAGGCTCCAGAAAGGTGACAGAATGCGTAGCCTGGCCAATATCCTTGAATAAGAGCACATACAAACCTTGAATCTTACGTATGGAAGAAAAGGAAACGTAAGGGCAGTATCAATGACTTCTCAGTGTACCTGAGTGTACCAGCCTGATCACAGTATATTGAAAAGAACAAGCATACACTCCCTTTCCAACACCCAGTCTTAAAAAGCAGTCAGCCAAGAATTTGGGAAAGTCTTTAATTGGAAAGGCAGCAAAACAATGGGATAGTCAGACAAAAGAGCTCTTAAGACTTTCGAAATGGAAAGCAGAAAAGAAAAAAATAAAATATTTGAAAGCATGATTGAAGATGGAAATATAGCTCATTAACAGAGTGACCCCGGGCTTGACCCAATACAGAAAGGAGGCGGGGGAGGAGTGAGAAGAGAGAAAATACAGCTGAGGAAATCTCCCAGGAGGTGAAAAATAAAACAGCAACTATGAAAATTTTAAGAAATTGACTCAGGAAGCCCCACATTCAAATAACTATACCAGGGCTGGGGAGTTGATTCAACGGTTAAGACCACTGACAGCTCTTCCAAATGACCTGGGTTCAATTCCCAGCACCCACATGGCAGCTCACAACTGTCTATAACTCCAGTTCTAAAAATCTGATGCCCTCTTCTGGACTCTGTGGGCACCAGGCATACACATGATATTACACATGTATGCAGGCAAAACACCCAAACACATAAAATAAAAGTAAATATTGTGTTGACTAACATTTAAATTTTTTTAATTAACTGTATCAGAAAGACACTTGGAGAAATCTACGTGTAGCGTGTTTTTTCAAAAAAAAAAAAAAAAAAACTTGACTATGCACACATGAAAATCCAGAGTGCCTGGCACAGTGGATACCACCAATAAAGATGCAACCAAGAGGTCTGGGGCGAAGAACAGACAAATACTCATTGGAATAACTGCATTTCTTAACATCAGAAAAGTAGAGAACAATAGGCCAGTGCCTTTATAATGCAAAATAGTGACAGTCTGGAATTCTTTACCCCGCTATGCACTGAGTATGAATAGAAGAGATCCAGAAATTTATCCCCCCCCCCATGCACTTTCTTAAGAAGATACTTAGAAATGGCAAATCAATAAAAAAGGCAAAAGATTAACAAATACAACAGTGAAATAATACAACTCAACAAACTTGGAGAGTTAACCAATTCAAGCTGAAAAATAAAAGACATTCTTAAAAGTAAACAATGTAGTCAGGTGTAGTAGCCTGATTATATACCTAGAATCCCAATAGAGGCACGAGAATCAGGAATTCAAAGCCAACCCCTGCTACAAAAGACCCTGTCTCAAAAAAGCCAAAGTTGGTTAATGAATGTATTTGATCACATTAAGAGAAAATAGGCACAAATGAAAGAGAATTGGCTAGGGAGTGAGGGGGTAGGAGAGATTTATAATAGGTACTAAAAATTAAATTACTTCCTAAACGAAGTTATAGAGGAAAATAGTAACTAGCTGGCTATAGTGGCCCACACCTGTAATCTCAACACTTGGGAGGTAGAGGCAAGACAATTACAAGTTCAAAGCCAGCCTAAGTACATGGACCTGTCTTAAAAACAACCACCATCCAAAAGTAACAGTATATAACACATCTTAACTGAGAATAACGGAAAGATAAAAGGTAATCACAGCTATAACATGACAGTAAAAATATGTCACAATATGTAAGGCAGTGGTTCTCAACCTTCTTATTTGGAGACCCTTTAAAAATACAGTTGTTTTTGTTTCTATTTCTAACTGTAATTTTGCTACTGTTATGAATCAAAGTAAGTATTTTTGGAGACAGAGGTGTACCAAGGGGTCCCAACCCACGAGTTAAGAACCACTGATATAAGGGATGGTGAAAAGGTACTAATTTCTGTTCCCACCCAAATCAATGCTACCTCAAACTACAATACCAAAACATAACAAAGCAAGTTACTAACGGTCAGGCAAGAGGCAATAACGGGAGGTCAGCATAGTTGAATGTGGAGTCTCTAGAGGGTGAATGGGTGCGTGGGAAGGGATATGTGTGAAAGTGTATTGTTGTTTTTTAGATGGACTTTTTTTTTACACTAAGTGAACTATAACTGAAAATGAAAGCAATTTAAAAAAAAAAAAATCTGTGTAAACTAGAAAATATCAAAATCCCAGGAGTTAAAATAGTATGAAAAAAGGTTATCCCATTTATACTATAGAGAAAGCTTACTAATAATCTGTAATATAATCATATTGATAAATTTCAGATTAACCTTTCCCAGTAGGCAGTAATTATGTATATAAATCAAGTAATATATTTACATATAGGAAATCAAATCTTCTGTTAAATCTAAATTTCAACCACAGTTAAAGTACATGGTACATAAACTGGCTTGAAGGTGAAGTCCTTAGGTATACAAGTGTACCTAAGCATATATGCACAGAGTACTAATGTGACTATCTAAAAGTCATATAATTCCTGTCTTCTTAAACAGATTCAACTAATTTTTTAAGACAGTTTATATACATCAGTGATTATGTCCTATGTTGTTAAATACATGAAATGTCCTATTATACTGAACAGAAAGCTGCTTATCTTGGCATAAAATAACTATGAGACCTGTGCTTTGAAGTTAAAACATTTTTTGAAAGTCTCTTTTCTTACAGTCAGACTGGCAATGATCTCTAGGTACCTGCTAGTAGCCACACTTTCTACTTCCTAGTTATATATTTAGCAAGGCCTTCAAAACCAGGTAATCAAGCCTGAAGTGGTATATGAACACAGCAGATTGACACTTAAGAAAAACAGAAGCTCATGGTGGAAACCCCAAGAGATTTAGTGCAGTCTACAGGACATGAGCAAAGAGCCATTTACTGTGTTTCAGATTTAGTGAAGTACAGAAAACCTAAATGTCATATAGGTACATATAACTATATCTGATTCCAGAAACATCTACTGACCCATCAACCTCTATATGTGATGTTAGAGGAGTGTCTTCCTCTCAGATTAATATGTTTCACTGAGTCTTAAAAACTACTGGATTAGTCACATTTGGTTCACCTACCTGCTTAGAATAAGAAAAACCCTCACTAGTTTAAAAGAATCCTGGTGAGATCGGGAATACTTAGCAACTTTCTGTCCTTACAAAGCCAAAGAGCTTCTAAAGAAAGACATTGAGAACATAGGTATAACAGCAAGAAAGCTGTCTTCCTTGCTCAGAAATAGCACTCTTCCGGTCCCAAAAACATTTATTCATTTGATAAAAATTTTTATTAAGCACCCATTATATGCAAAGCATTGTACCGGGTGCTATAAAGCAAGAAATGTGAAAAAGTTTTTATATTTGTAGAACCAGAGCTAGTCCTTGAGTTTGCTGATAGGAAAGAGAAAGAAAATGCTCCTATTTGGTTCATCTGGGGACCTAGAGCATGGATATGGTCTTCCATCCAATCACTTCTGTGATCCTCAAATCAGCCAATTTAAGTCAAAACAAATAAGGCACATTAAAAAAAAAAAAAAAAAAATACCCCCTTTTAATTGACCAAGTAAAGCCATGACATTTCATTTGGTAACCTGCTCAGAATTATAAAAATCATTTCATTTGGCCCAGCCCATACTGTCCAGGGCAAAACTTCCAGACAATTCTAATCCCATCCGGCTCTGTTCTTATAAACTGTATATATAAAAAAAAAATCTTCAGCGTCCTCAATATGACGCGCTCAGTGCGAAGCATATCAGGGCACAATGTAACATTTATGTCCTTGACAAGCCTCGATTATCCAGGTCCTTTACCTGCAACATAAAGACATCAGTTTAGTATGTACCCTAAGTTTTTCTTTGGCAACATCTACTAGTTCCACAGAGCAGAAAAGATCACACTAGACTCTGTTGCTTGTTTGACAATGTGAATAAATAAGCATGGATTAGAGTTTACCTACTGTCAACTTAGCCTTTAAGAAACAGTATAGACTAACTATGGCATTGACCAAAAGACCTCAATCATTCTTTTTTATTCTGTTACTTGAGATATATGTACCCTAGGCTGGCCTCAAACTCAATCCCCTGCCTTTGCTACCCTAGGCATAGATGCTATATCTGGTTCAACCTGTTCTCATATAAAAGATATAACACATTCCTACATGACATCATGTGATTCTGTGTCAAAAATTCAGCAAAAAGAAAACATAGTTCAAAAACACATACACATGCATTTCCCCCAACTCCCGAGCTATTTCAAACCCTACCTAGAACACTATTGCTGAGCCAAGTACAGAGGCCACATCTAAAATACAACCATTCCAGAGGCTGAAGAAATGGGATCTGAGTTTAAAGCCAACCTGGAATAAATAGTACTTTTAAGACTAGCCTGTAAGGCATCCTGAGACCCTATCCCCAAAACCATAAGGAAAGAAGAAAGAAAAAAGTACTGGTCTGGCAAATGTTTCAGTGGGTAAAGGCACTTGCCATCCATCCTGGTAACTTGATTTGGATCTCCAGGACCCATATGATAAAAGAACTGACCCCTACAAGCTGTCCTCACATGTAGCATACATATATAATGCCTCCTCCTATATAAAAATGTAGTAAAAGAATTTTTTTTTTTTAAAGAAAAAGAAATGTTGGCATAACAACTGCCAATCCTCTATAAAAAATAATCAAAAATATGATTAGTAACATTTTGGCCTAACCAGATAGCTTAGCAGGTAAAGTTGCATACCAGCCTGATGACCTGAATTCAATCTCGGGAATCTATTAAAACGTAAAGAGAATCCACAAAGTTGTACACATGCACACACACACAATTTAAAAATAATTAACACTTCGAGTAAGTTATAAGCTACTTTGAAACCAGATGCCATTAAAAATGTCCCTATTTGGAAAAATTGTAAACTAGAACAAGATCAGTTTTCTGAGCTATGTAGCACCTACTCACCTTGTATATCCTGACCAGCCAATGTTCTGTGGTATATGCTTCCTCCAGGACATCAAGCTCAAAGTCTTTATTACCAATCTCAGCATTTCGAACACGGTCAAAGCCTGGCGGACGCTCTAAAAGCAACAAGAGAAAAATCTTTTCTATTCTGCAAGTTAATTTCCTAAAGAGATGGAAGCTATACACCAACTACTGCATTGATGGCCCTTTCTCAGCCTGCACTTTGACTAGAGTCTGCAAGACAGAGCTTTAGATAGAAATGGCAAATCAAGTGCTACCCTAGTTGCGTCCTGCCCAATGTGATACTTGGCAGAGTCCATGAAGCTTATAAGTCTACAAGGTGAATTTCAAGCCTCTCTATTCCCGAAGACTGTTATCCAGAGACCTAACACTAGTAAACCTTCCATGGATCATGAGTTCAAGACTTGTATATACTGCAAACGTTTTCCCAGATGCAGAAACAAAACTGAAATGGACAGGATCTAACCTGACCAAATGTATTCATCTAAAAAGTGAAAAAGTACTTATTTCTTTATCCCTTAGTCCTTCTCACACTATAATACTCTTTATTGAGACAGCCACAATAAAAGGTCAATTTTTGTTTGTTTGTTTGTTTGTTTGTTTGTTTGTTTGTTTGTTTTGTTTTTCAAGACAGGGTCTCTCTGTGTATCCCTGGCTGTCCTGGAATTTGCTCTGTAGAAGAGGCTGGCCTCAAACTCATAGAGAGCCTCCTGTCTCTACCTCCCAAGTGCTGGGATTAAAGGCATGTGCCACTACCACCCAAGCAAAAGATAATGTTTTAAAGTACAGAATTCAGAGGCAGACTGAGTTTGAATTCTATCATGTGATATTAGCTAGTTCAGTAACCTGTTAGTTATTTCAATTTCTTCATACATAAAATGGCATTAATATTAGTTTCTATCTTCTGGGCTCCTGTGAGGACTAAATGAGTTAAAGAGACTAAGAGCAGAACCTGGAAAACACAGTATATGTTAGCTATCACTCTTGTTGACAGTATTATGAATCACTCACTGGCTTCTGTGTAGACCTGCCCAAAGCGGTAGTAACACATTTTGTACATAAGGCAGTTGAGCAGCACTGGAGACCCCTCACGATCCACACGGAATTCCCCAGTTGGAGTATAGTAGTCATTCTCCTTGATATGTCTTCCTGTATCTGTGCTTCCTCCAATCCGGACCATCCAAAGAAACT